CTGTGAGGTGGCCTCCCCCGTGAAGGGGAGGTCAGTACTTGGAAGCATTTGACAAGTACAATGACAACTATACTAAGTATAATCGAAGTTTAAATCTCTGAGGCCCTCAATCTAGAACATTATTACATTTTAGTTAATCCGTTCATTTAGTATCAATTCATCATTATTTACCACGGTCTAGAGCCCAACTCATAATCACCGTTATCTACTACGGTCTAGAGCCCCGCTCATAATCACCGTCATCTACTACGGTCTCGACCCCACCTGGAGTATTCTGGATCATTTACCGTCCAAGGGTACTCGACCCCACCTGGAGTATTCTGGATCATTTACCGTCCAAGGGTACTCGACCCCACCTGGAGTATTCTGGATCATTTACCGTCCAAGGGTACTCGACCCCACCTGGAGTATTCTGGATCATTTACCGTCCAAGGGCACTCAATCCCCAGTCTATTCTCTACCAAATCCTAACCTGGATATGGCTAACCTTTCATTCCTTTAACTATGGACAATTCCTAGCCCTCTAGTCATATAACAATCCTTAGGATCCAACGTGGGCGGGTCCCACCCGAACGGCCCACGTTAACCTACTCAAAACTGCCCGTTTTGAGCATAACCCAATACTCGATCGAGTATTAACCCATACTCGGTCGAGTACAGGAGACAGTAGTCCACAAAGCTGATTTTCAACAAATACCCGGTCGGGTATGTGTCAATACCCGATCGGGTATGGCAGTTGACTTGGCGGTCAACGCCCCTTTTGACCCCTCAAACGGAGTCCGATTAACTTGAAATTTTATACACATATACTTCTTGATGTCCTTGATCCAAAAATACCATTTTGGATCCCTGGATCATCACACAAAATATGTTATCACATTTTTAATCACCAAACCTACATAACATGCTTTTTAACTATGTTTTGTGTATAATCATGGCATAAACACACACTTGGTTATCTTTAATCATTCCACAAAACATATTCCTGATTACTTTAGGTAATCTCATGCCTCACGCAAAAGTTATAAAGCATAAAGCCGTCTTCTCACCTTAATGAAGCTTATGAAGTTCTAGCCTTCCCGATTTAGCTCCGACGAAACTCCGGCGAACTTCAACGAACTCCGGCGACAACTCCGGCGACCTTTTCAACTCCGTGAAAGTTCCTTGAATACCTTATACAAGTTACTAACAAGGTTTTATCATCATAAAACCCATAGTAATACAAATAACCTCCAAAAGGTTATTTTCCGGCGAACCGGTCACTTTGGCTTCTAAGTCCGTTCTTGGGCTTAGAACCACCTTCCAACCCCTCATTCTACACTTCTAAACATGTAGAACAGTCCTAGGGGTAATCCATTTGATATGAACGTCATATGATAAGAAAAAAATTGAAGAAGAGTTTGCAAAAAGCTTCTCACCTTTATTCCCAAGGTTTTTCTCTATTTTTGTAACTCTTCCTTCTTGATTTAGCTTCTTGCTTGATTGAGCTACCTTCAACAATGGAGATGTGGATTTGCAGAGCCTCTTCTCTTCTCCCTTGATGGATGGAGTCGCAGCATATGGGGTGTGGGGGGTGATTGAGGATGCCATATTGGCATTTTCCCACAATCATGTTAGGAGAGGGGTCCATGTCATTTAATGATTTGGGTCTCCAATCAGCCCATGCTTGCCCCCTCCCATTATGTGCAGCATACCCTGACTTTTGACAGCCTAATTTCGGGGGATGGCCCCCACTTATGTGGGAGGTCATCCCTTTAAATCCCGTCGTGTACAATCGGTCCCGAAAGTTGTATTTTCCGGACTGTTTTAAGTATATTTTATTTTATCGGGTCAAATAAAATATAACACTTGTTCCCAATCCTCATTGGACCTTAGAATCAATATGCATTCCCCAACTTTAATTTAGAAGTCTCCGGAATCCCTTTTTGGGCTGTTATCCGATAATTTGCCGATACCGATAATCTGGCCCCATTTGACCAACCGGTCATCTCTATGCCATTACCAGGCCCAATTAGGATATCCATCACCATATACATATTATCTAGTCCAAGATTAATATAATATGTGGTCCCGATAATATCGGGTGGCCCCACATCCGGTGTGGGCCCCACGTGAATTTTACTATTCACGTAATAGAAATGATAAAAATTTACAATCACGTAAAAAATGCTTTTATACATTTCTCAAGGTGCAATACATAATTTGGTACAGTACAAATACTCGGGGGCGGTGTTACACATGGTTGGTACAATCATCATACACTCATATTCATAACATCTAAACATACACAATTTCTTCATAAATTTGTATATCATGCATACTATACTTCTAATCAATAGTAATTTTATTTAGGCATTATTTACCATTAACAACCCATGCACATCACATTTGTATTCACTTAGGAAATCCTATGAAATTAACCCAAAGATTATAAGTAACATAGTCGGTCATCCTCACCTTAATTAAGCTTAAGCACGTTCTACGCTTCTCGATTGAACTTTGACTAATTTCGGTGAACTTTGACCAACTCCGGCGAACTTTGACCAACTCCGGCGAACTTTGACCAACTCCGACGAAACTCCGGCGAAGCTCAAAAATACTTTAAATCAAGTTCCTAACAAGGTTTTATCATCACAAAACCCATATCAACACAAATAACCTATAAAAGGTTATTTTCCGGCAAACCGGTCGATTTGGCTTCTAAGTCCGTTTTTGGACTTAGAATCACTTTCCAACCCATTATTCCACACTTAAATCATGTAGAACAATACTAAAGGTCTTTCATATGATATATATCTTATATGCTAGAAGAAAAACAAAGGAAAAGTTATGATAGGGTCTTTACCTTAATTTTCACACTTTTTCCTAGCTTTTTCCTTCTTTAACTTCATCCCAACCTTCTTGTTTGAGCTCAGCTCGAATTTTGCTATGAAAGATGAAGTTGTAGAGGTTCTTTCCTCCTTTCTCTTGATGCTGGCCGAACTAGTGAGGAGGGGGATGGGTAGGAATGCCCCTTTGTCTCCTTTTGGGCAATGAGTGAAAGAGAGGAGGGCCACCATGATTTGTTTTGATGCCAAACATCTCAAATCAGTCCTCTCCCACCTCACCTCTCCTACCAGCCGACTCAGGCCTTGAATAATGAGGCTAAATTCGTGGGTTGGCCCCCACCCATGTGGGAGGTCAACCTTTTTTGTCCAGAAGTGTACAATCGGTCCCGAAAGTTGTATTTTCCGGACTGTTTTAAGTATATTTTATTTTATCGGGTCAAATAAAATGTAACACTTGTTCCCAATCCTTATGGGACCCTAGAATCAATATGCATTCCCCAACCTTAATTTAGAAGTCTCCGAAATCCTTTTTTGGGCTGTTATCTGATAAATTTGCCGATACCGATAATTTGGCCTTGTTTGACCAACCGGTCAACCATGTGCCATTGCTATGGACCAATTAGGATATCCACCACCATATACATATTTTCTAGGCCCAAATGAATCTAATATGTGGTCCCGATAATATCGGGCGGTCCCCACTCCCGATGCGGGCCCCACATGCATTTTACTATTCACGCGAAAAAATTAATACGAATTCACAACCTCGTAAATTCACTAAAAATTTCATAGGGTTCAATAAATTATTCGCTTAAAGATAAATACATTTGGGGACGGTGTTACATGTAGAGTTGTGGCCGAAGATGACCACGACTTACGAGGAGGCCAATGGTCCTGATCTGGGGGTGCCAGCTGAGACCGATGGTAATGCCCTTTCGACGCCCTCCTGCTCACCGTATGAAAGTCTACAATATATGATGAATTTGCGGGATGAAATTGCTAATAGATTAGTATGAAATGTTTAAATTTAAAATGTCGTTCTCGTAAAACTTATGACCTTGTTTTATGATGCAATATGACTAGAGGCATCTTTATGACTTTGGAGGCCCCACACAAAAAATGTTATCATATTCAAATCATAAAAAATCATAATACGTATGAAAAAGCATATTCAAATTGCAGATATAACGTAAACGTCCAAAGGAAAAATTCTTGAAAAAGAATTTCACTAGTTATATCAACTTATTCTTTCTTTTTGTACTAATATATAATACAAAAATCATAAACAATAAATTAACAAAAACCAAGAATCTATAGATAAAAATGACAAATCAAAGAAAATAAATAATAATTTAGTAATACCAATACCATCGCATAATTATTTCATGCCTATATCATACGACATATAATCTAATTCATACAATACCAATTTGTTTTACACTGTAATCATACTAAAACACGTGTAGCATTAAAAAGTTAAAATCCTTATTACCTTATTTAGACATCTACATGTGACACGTCGTTGTCTGCTAGATGCGTAGAAGATAATTTTCCTATTCTAGTTTCCAATTATTAAGTAATTATACATAATACTAATAGTAATATCTTTAATTTTGGAGACCCCCTTGGCATGTGAGGCCCAAGGCTATTGCCTGAGATAATTTCCCCCAAAGCCTCATCTGAATATGACTCTTTTATTTGAGTAATTCATAATGTTAGTATTTTTTGTATATAAATTTTATCTTTCAGAACAAAGAAAGTAAATAGACAATATACATGCAACACTTGTTACAGACAGAAAGATTATTTGGTAATTAGACATGATTCAAAGTTCTCATTCGGCACACTTACTAAAAAAAGTAAACAGTCCCTTGATTAAACTCTACCTTCCCATACATGATACTTACTCCGTTCTTAAATAAATGCAACGGTCAACAGTTCACACTTGTCGAGACACAACTTTGACCATTAATATAAATGATTTTGCATTAGTAAAAAAATTAAAAAAATTAGATTATGAAAATTTACAATGAGACAAGTTTAACAATATTTTTTTAATAAAATAATATTATTACATTAATAAATAAAATGTAGTCAAAGTAAAACATGTGAATAGTATAAAAATCAAAATGTTTCATTTATTTAAGAACGGAGCTAGTACATCTCATCGTTATCCGCACGAGTGGCTAATTAAACTCCACGTCTCCACCGTCTGTCTAAAGTTCTGTTTGCTTTCTTCCCAAAACACTCAATTTAGTAATTTTACGCCTAATGGGTGTGCGGATTCTTAACCTTTCCCCATTTTCTTGTTCCAGATCCTTCCTTTTCAAATCCACAGCCCCGTCAGGTTTTATCCCTGTGTCTGCACTGTCCAAGAAGACGCAATTGGATGCACCATCTTCTAGATCTATCCACCTGAAAATTTCCTCCTCTGGGTTTGGCTGGTTGAATCATCAGGCAGGCTTTAGAGCTTCACGGTTCGTGGCCATGGCTTCCACGGGATCGGTTCAGAAGTCTGAAGAGGAGTGGCGTGCTATTCTATCTCCTGAACAGTTCCGGATTTTAAGAATGAAAGAGACTGAGTACGCATTTCTCTCCCAATTTTACTATGCTAATCTTCAAATGATAAACTGAAAACGATTAACTGAAAATTTTACTCCCAATTTTACCTTTTAGTTTTCAAGCCCACGCTAAACTGAAAATGATAAACTGAAAACGATTAACTGAAAATGATGATTGTAGCATGCGGCTCGCACACAGTGCCTAATATGGTGGCATGCAAATGCTTGCCGCATGTTTTCAATTGGACACTACCCTTACCAAGTATAGGTCGAGTACAATACAAAGACTAAAGAGATAAATACAAAATAGTCTTAAAATCATATCCTTGTTACAAATATGACTAATATTATGGCTTTACATTGAGACGGCTAACGTGTTCTTATTTCTAAAGTGATACTCCGTATCTATTAGTAATCATAATTTGGTGAAACCTGTTATGCTTTAGTTGTAATTCAGGAAATTTCTCATTTTTAAAAATTGGATAGTCTTTTTGTTGTGATTCCATAAGGTTCTTGAAGACTGATAAATGGTATGAGGCCCAAACATGAAGTAAATTGTATGGACAATAGCTTTAGACACTGTGATTTCAAAGCCTGGATGGCTTTGAAATCAAACATTTGCCTGCTGATCAGGCATTACGTGCAGGAATTATACCATGCCTTGTACTCCTAGGCTATGTTTAGATCCCTGAAAGTACTATGGAAAGGAGAGAAAATGCCAAGGAAGTTTTTATTCTCATGTTTGTATTTACCTTGGGAAATTCGAAGGAAAATGAAATATAATTGATGTTTTTAAATTTTAATTTTTTCCTATAAGTTGCTTAGTGTTTGTATGAAAGAGATAAATAAATAAATATAAACGATTTTGAACATATATAAAAGATATTTTTTTTGAGTTCGAGACAAAGATTTATTTCCTAGGCATTTTCTTTCCTTCTGGGTTTCTCTAATACTTTCCTCTGTATTTGAGTATATTCTTTTCCTAGCATTCTTTGCTTTTTAAACAGACCCCTATTAAGTAGGGACTAGTAACATAGATTCCTTGTTTCATGTTCCAGACTCCCACCAGTGTCTCTTTGCACATATCCGTCCACTTTGCGACCATGTATCACCCACAAATTTTCCTAGTCATAGACTTGATGGGTTCTCACTTCTTAGTCATAGACTCATACCCAACAGCAGTCTGACCAACTCACCTCTCTTGGAAGAGGATGAGTCCAGTGCTCATACTACCTTTGTAATCGTTTACTCTGTGACACCTCTGCATTTTTTCAAGTAGTAATGCTGTTCATTTACAGATTTACAATAAAGTCGGTTTAATAGAGGCTGTACATTCGAGAAATGTGCAGTGAAACATCTCAAATGGTGTAGTATCAATGTACTCGCCTATTCATTACTCCTCTCTGTTTACCTCATTATACCTGTAATTTAAGGGTCCAGAATGTTAGGAAATGGAAATTGAAATACATAGGGGAAATCTGGAAGGAAAGGAAATGTGAGGGAAACGAAAAGGGTTCTGACTCAGATAAATTTGGTTTTGATATTTGTTCAAACTTCAAACACATTTTTTTATATACTTGTTTATTGTATTTTATTATATAAAGAGGTAAAACCGTCTGATCTAGCCCATTAGTGCGTTAGTCCATTATTGAATTAAGTCCCATGTGAACGCTCCTGATAAAAGAAAGTGTAGATCATACTGTTTGCTAGATCACCCATGTGTTTGGTAGATCATACTGTGTTTGCTAGATCAGACCCTTATATGGACTAAGGTGACGTATTTCATTTTTCTTGGAATCATTCTGAGGTAAAACCAAACACATGACAATAAATTTCCTTGACATTCCCCCCCTAGCATTTTCTGGGATCCAAACATACCCTAAGGGTTTTATCTTGGGTGTGTTTGCCTAAAATCTAACATCCTCTTTGTACAAAATGGAAAGAGAAACTATGAAGGGACTAATCTGCATGTAGATATAGGTTGCACATTGGAAGATTTGTGTATTAGATGACACTCCTATGCTTATTAGTTGTTGGGTGAATGCCCCTTCTAGCAACAGGCAAATTACCCCCCCCCCCCCCCCCCCCCCCCCCCCCGTGTTTAGATGAATTAAATTCGATTAATAGGGTGAACATATAATCACGGGGAAGTTTGGCCATAAGTTCAAACTTAGGTGAAATGAATGCAACTCCAAGTTGCCAATGTGCCATGCTCTTTGCTGAATATGTTGTATTAGGTGCACCGTGTTTGGATTTAAATAAATAAAAAAAAGTGAATAAAGCTACACAATGTCATACATCATACACATATATTAACTATATTTCTTTAAATTTATTTTGTGGGACAGGTATCCAGGAACAGGGGAATACAACAAGCATTATGAAGAGGGAGTGTACAAGTGTGTAGGATGTGGAACTCCTCTTTACAGGTCCACCACTAAGTTCGACTCAGGCTGCGGCTGGCCCGCTTTCTACGAGGGTCTTCCTGGTGCCATTAACATGACCGTGAGTGTTCTCTCTTTTACACTTTTGATCTTTTATCAGGAGCGTTCACATGGGACGTATTTTAGTAATGGACTAACGGGCTAACGGACTAGATCAGACTAAAATTGAAGATATTAGATTCAAATAGATCAAATCAACAAGAATTATATTCTCATCCATTCCATTTCCTAAGATACACATTCCTTTTTGGGTTGTCCCAAAAATTTGAACACTTTGTAAATAAAATTCCACTAGCTTTTTTAGTTTAGCACCTTATCCCTTATCTATCATTTTACTTCTTTACTTTGTGTGATCCACTCTACTTTTCTTAATATTTGGAAGTTAGAACTGTAAAACAGTGAATTTATCCTTCTTAAAACCTGTGTCATTATCTAAAGTAGCCTATTTAAGTGTAGTATGGTCTGAACTGATCTAGAACGACCTGGCTTGATATTATGTGAAGTTAATATCTTTACACATGTTTTTAATAAACACATAATGTAATATTCTTATCGCAGTTATTTATATACATTGTCAACTTTTTTAAGTTATTATATAATTTGATGATAAAAATAAAATTTTGTATAAATATGAATGTTGACCTTGTAATTTGCTATACAAAAAAGACAATCAAACTCAAAATAAATATATAAGTGCTAATTTTAAAACAAATGACTTTTTTTGTATTACAATTAGTAATAATGAATATTTAAAATATACTTGTGCTTAACGATATATTATGTAACATATTCATTAATGAATATAATTTAAGAATAATAGAAGTTACATTTATAACATATCAAGCTACACTGTATTGAAAACTAGAAAAAATAAAACAAATCTAGATCATATTGTACTAGTATAGCTTAGGCCAAACCAGATTGACCAGATCGCCATATTTGACCCTATGAAACTTGTATTCATTGTAATAAGATCAAATGGAGGCAGAGCCAACCTTATTAGATTAGACAAGATTTAAACGAGTGAAATAAGTTAGAGAGCCCTATTCTAATTAAGAGTAGGCAAGACGACAAAATGAGGAAGAGGTGTAAATTTGCTGTTTGGATGGTTTTGTTTTCAGACTGATGCAGATGGGAGGAGAATAGAAATTACATGTGCTGCCTGCGGAGGACATCTTGGCCATGTTTTCAAGGGTGAAGGGTTCGGTACGCCAACGGATGAGAGGCATTGTGTCAATAGTATCTCTCTCAAGTTTGTTCCTTCAGCAAATTCTGATGCATAGCTCCCGGTGATAAATGACTGTGAATATGAATGTAGGGTTCCAACTCAAATATGCTGCTTTGACTTTGTATCACATTACAACTGAAGCTCTTCTAAGCGTTATTTTCCCTTGTGTAAATGTCCAATCCCTGTGTTTACCATATATCATATTGTGTGCTGCCCTGGACTTCTATCGCCTTGTACTTGGACGGTTTTGAGTTCCAGTCTTCCAGACCAGATCAAACTTGGATAATTATAAAATACACAAAGATCAAACATTTACAAGACCAGATCACACCAGACCAGACCCAAAAATTTCAGTCCAAGTAAAACCATCCTAACTGTTACGAACCAGAGTTGGAAACGGGAAAATAGCGTAGATTGACATGAAGTAATTAGAGGTGGACTCGGGCCATGCCGGGTCGGGCCTAGGCCCGGGAGGGCCGGCGGTTGTGGATAGGTGGGCCCGGGACCGGCCCGGGTAGCCACCGGGTCTGGCCCGGGTAGCCACCGGGTCCGGTCCAGGGCCGGGCCGGGCCTCATTTTTGGTTAATTTTTTTTTGTTTTGCTTACCTACCTATCCCTGACCCCCCCCTCACCCGCACCCCCAAACCCCCCAAACCCCTCCTAAACATCAAGCCAAACCCAGGTGGAGTCCAAAAAAATGAAAAAATGAAAAAACAAAAACAAATTGGCCCGAACCGGGCCTTGGCCTCCTTTTTACCCACCCGAACCCGCCTTGCTTTAGATAAATAATCGGGCCTTAGACCGGTTTTGGGCCCGAAGAACCGGGCTGGTCCGGTCCCGCTAGTGATGGACCCGGGCCGGTCCGGTTCTGCCCCGGGCCCGGGCGGGCTTTTTTTGCAAATCCTTGGGCCCGGAACCGGCCCGGGTTGATACCGTGTCCGGGCCTAACTGGGCCAGGCCGGGCCGGGCCCGGGCCGGTTCAATGTCTATTTTTTTTTGCTTTCTTGTTATCCCCGACCCCTCCCCCCCCACCCCCAAACCTCCCCAAAACACCCAGCCCTACCCTAGGAAAAGGAAAAAAATTGAAAAAACAAAAAAAAATTGACCTGGGCTCGGAATCGGCCAACCGGTTCTGGTCCGGTCTGGGCGCGCACAGTAGCGGGCCGGGCCGGTTCCGGGTTGGTCCGGTCCGATTTAGTCCATCCCTAGGTCCCGCACAGTAGCGGGCCGGTCCGGTCCCGCATAGTACCGGGCTGGGCCGGTCCCGCACAGTAGCGAGCCGGGCCGGTCCTGCACAGTAGCGGGCCGGGTGGCCCGAACCGAGTCCAAGTCTAGAAGTAATGAAACGGAAAATACAATTGAGACTCTTCGAGAGGCCTCACTCCAATTTTCTGCCTACCTTATTCTTCTTCCTACCCACTCTTATACTCCCTCCGTCCCTAATAACTTTGCCAGCTTTCCTGTTTTGGTTGTCCTAAAAACTTTGTCACTTTCCATTTTAATAAATCAATTTGTGGCTCCTGTTCTTTCTCTCACCTCTGCACAAATTCCTACCACACATTTTTTTACTTTGTTATTATACGTGCCAGTCAAACTTCTCAATCCTTTTAGGGACGGAGGGAGTAATAATACTCTCCTAAAGGTCGACCTTCAATTAAGTTATTGAGGGCCAAGAACCCTATTATTGAACAATATTAAATTACTTAATAAGACTCATATTATTATTATTATTGTTGTTGTTGTTATTATTATTACCGTCGAGGTCTCTATGATCATTCCCCTCTTGAACATATGGTGATCAAATGGTCCCTTATCTTCTTCTAGATCTTCCATCAGGACAAATCGATAGTGTTTCATTCCGCAAACATGCTCTTTACTCCATAAGTCCATTTGTCTCCACGAAACACATGTCCTTTTTACTCCTTTCTTCTAGTTCAAGTTGAGTCAACCTCCTACCATTCTTCCAGTTTTGAACCGGTGTTGTGGACTCCCACATGTTGTCTCTAAACTGGTGAGGTAAAATATGTCCATAGAGATGGTTTATTAATTTCATTCCAACCTACGAACACCAGAATTTGGCGTTGTTTGTTTTGTGGATTCATTGGTGATAGATCTACTGCGTAACAAAGAAAGTACTTTTTGCCAAACAAAACTAATTAAAGCATTAACTTTTGCAACATTATATTCAATGAAACAAAATGAAATAATATAAAAGAAGAAGCTTTTTGAGAGTCATGCGCAATGACAAAGTTTCCATATATTCCTCTCAAAGTCAAGTATGCCTGTCCCATAGGAATAATGCAGATAAGCTGCTTGCCTGTTAAAGAGGATTAGTACTAATTTTTTGACTGTTTACTTTGTTGATATAAAAATGAATAATTCTTGAAATCATTAAGCACACACCTAAACAGTAGCTCTGATTTCTTGACAAAGAATGCAAGTAATTCTTTTTTGTAGAAGATATCTGTGTTGACCAAGGACAGCTACTTTTTAAATACCTTCATCCTACTTGTAGAGTTGTAGTGTTGTACTTCATAGTAGTTGAGGCGTAGAAGAAAGAAAAAGAACTTGTGAGTCACATTAACTAATTTGAAGTAATATTCTTTCCATTCTACAAAATTCTATTGGTTTATTATTCAACGTTGCATGAAAAATGGAACAATGGATGACTTACTCAACTTGTTTCAAAAGGTTGGATCCTCAATCCTAAGAGTTTCTCACAACTTTACCCGACAGAGCATATAAGGGGCTGTAAATCATGATAATTCTGTCAAGCACAGAAGTAAGCTGGTTAGTGCCCACTGCGGATCGACAAGAGTCCTCCTTACTTTGAGAGGTTACTCTCACACTGCCATGGGCTCAATCCTTGGTCATTTGTTCCAAATTTCAATCATGTGACCAACTGAGCTATCATGTGCGGACATTAATGATTTGCTCCAGATTTTAGAGGTTTGTCTTACGAATCAAAATTTATTACGGAGTATTTACACAAACTCTAATGTTTGATATTGATTTTCAAAAACTGAATAGATATTCAAATTTTTATTATTTACTTATTCTCCCATTGAAACAATACATCTACTGATATACTTTCAAAAAGTAAAGTACTAATGTACCTATCATTACCAAAATTCTTAACCTTAACAGTAATATCATGCACGAAATCAATTCATGTAACTACAAGTCTCATAGCTACCTCTTTAAGGGGAGGAATGAAGTCAGCCTTAGGACACTAGATAGGTATGTCAAATCACGTTTTTGAGCCATATATATATATATAGTGCGGTTCCGATAAAAACCATTCTTATCGTGCAAACTGCAAACCGTCACTTTTGGCTCAATTTGATTCACTTTAAGGCTCGTCTCTTGCACTTTTTGAACTTTGGTTGAATCATGTCAAATAGAAAAAAATGGTGACACTTCTGTAAATAAGTCAAAGTTGTGTGCCATTGTGAAAAAATGCAAAATAGAAACCTAATAGTGCATCACAATGGGGGAAAAGCGACCGGTTTTTAGTTTTCACGGGAAGAAAGGTTTTTATTTGATCCGAAATCTATATATATATATATATATATATATATATATATATATTCCAAATATAAAAAAATTAATATATATTATTCCAAATACTTTTCCGAAAAATTAATTATGATATAACTATAAGTAAATATAAAAAAAATACTCCGTATACAGAAAAGCATAAATGGATAAGAAGATGCCTATATTTTCTATTTAAATATGTAATGGCTATCTATGGAAGCAAAGTGTAAATTAACTACTTGGTTTAGGATTCCTATAATTACTAGCTACTTAAATATCTAACAATTGAATATTTATAAATAGTTATACACACACACGTCATGTATAATTATATACCATAGAATTAAGCACTACACAATACGGGAAAAATTACTCCACTAATACTGTAAATTTAAATGCTAAATCAAATTTAAATATTATCGTGTGTGCTCACTTTTCTATTATAGTATCCGTTATTTGTTAAATGTCATATCTTTGGGTTAAGATGAATTTCTATCTTATGTATTTCTCTTTGGGAGTGCGCGCCACAATGATTCCATCGAACCGCAAGGTGTTTGACACCTATGAAGCACATATACTTCACTATGGTACCGTATCGGAAACGTTCTCGTATCATATACTCTAGGATACCTGCATCGTACGTTTCGAGCAGTAACTGTAATTTATTACAAGTTTCCAACTTTTTTGGTAATTATTTTAAAACTTCGGATATTCGTATACTAACGGATACATGTATCAACTTTTTATACTTCGTATATAAAAAGAACACCCAAAATCTACATAATAAAATTCTTAAAATATAAAAAAACTAGAAATATTTTTTTATCTTGCTTTAGTCTCGCACACAACTAACTATATGACCAACAAGTAAAATGTGGGGTGTTGGCAGGGATGACTTTGTGAGCATGGAGGATATAGGAGTACTTGAGTTTGCCAACCTTTCCACATATGAATCAGAATTGGAGGGTAACTTTTAGGAAGATAATGTTAACACTGGAAATTAGTAGCTCTGATGGAAATATGTACTCCCTCCGTCCCATAAAATAAGTTCCATTTTTCTTTTTGGGCCGTCCCAAAAAATTGTTCCCATTTCCCTTTTTGGAAAGTTTTGTGTGGCTAACATTCATTTACCTTTTTCTTACTCAACCACAACCATACATTTCCACTTTATTCCCACTTTCTTAAACTCCGATCCAAATTGAAATGAGACTTATTTTATGGGACGGAGGGAGTATTAAAACTTCTAGTTTTTTATTAGAATATTAATTTGTATCTTCATTATCCAAAAACTTTGAGTACTTTCACTTTTAATTTCAAAGTTGTGATTGTTTGACTCGTTTCTAATTTCAAATTAATAACTTATTAACTATATTTATATTTGAAGATGCACTAGCGTATATGAGAGAAAATATGAATTTATTTCTAACTATCTTGATAATGTTAAATGCTTCAAAGTTATAATAATATTTATAAATACAACCCGTAATTTTTAATATTTATAAATATACCTTCGTATCCTACTTTTTTTTTTATTTTGTCGTATCCATGTATCCGTATCGGTGCTACATAGCTTGGCACAACTTAAATAATTTGTTAGGCACACCTTAACTATGTCATACCAATGTTTCTACCAAAAACGAATGCGATATTTTTATCTATTACATCTTTCAAAAAACTTATCACATAATTAATTAAATTTAAATTTTAACTTTATAAATTAATTTTAGTATACACCATAGAATTTAGGATGACTTAAAATGGACCGGCCGGAGTTTCGGTCTCAATCAAATCATATATTCATATTAGACCATATTAGATATGATTTAAACAAATTAGATCAAATCATACTAAGTAAATACCAAAATACTCCGTATACAACAGTAAACATTCACAGGATGATATACTAGACCAAATATAGAGACACTAAACTAGACCAAATAAATTCAATTAAAAAAATCTTTAATCCTTATTTTAAAAAGACTAACAATATATTCATTTTGATAAAATTCTTTAATTTATGTTCACAAATTAATACGAGTATATGTAAAAATGTTTTTTTTACAGTTCTACCCATCCACTTTGTTCTACACCAGTATTTATCGCGAGTAAAACGGAACCTTATATTTTCAAAGTTGTTATTAGAAACGCGAAAGTCAAAGGTACACGCGATTTACCAGCTCTACAAAAACAGGAATCTGCATAATAATGAACAGAGAATCCAGTAAAATTCGCAGGGTAAGTTGCCTGATGCCCACTGACTCTTAACTGAAAACTCCGCAAAATTGTTGATGATAATCACCAGAAGGCCTGAAGCAGAACGACTCCGCCTTCCTTAGAGTCACCACCGCTCATGCCAGCCTAAACCAGAGGTCTAAAAAGAAGAAAATTGAAGTTCAGTCTTTCATGGGAGAGCAAGATGGGAAACCTGTTGAAGGACCAACATCTTCAAAACCCACCAGTCCGGATCCAACCGTCGAAGTTTCTGCTACCGTGGAGAAAGCGCTGATTCCATCTTTATCATCACTTCCTCCCCAACCTTCTTGGTTCACTCCTAAAAGGTGCAGTTTTTATTTTTACTTCACATTTCCTTCCATGAATTCGTTCAAGAAAACATCAAAATGTTTAAGATTTTGAATCTTGATCATTTTCGTTTATATGGTTGTGTCCAATATTTCCCGGGATTGTGGCGTGCTTCTGGGTTTGGAGTTCTTTTTTTTGTTTTAAATTGTTTGTTTTGCTTATTCAACTATTCAAATGGTTCAAAATGCCGTGAATTGATGAAATTACTTGTGTCATTAGGGTGATGAGTATTGGTTTATTTGGGCTTCAAGTGGAGTATGAATTCATATAGGCTATGTTTGGAATATGGTCGTGGGTTAAGTAAAAATGCTAAGCAAAACTTTTTTTAGTTATACATACTTGTAAAATATGAACAGAAATCAAATTTCATGTACTCAGTATAATACTTTAAAATTTCATGTATATATGTTTCTTAGTCTGAATATATTTGAAATGAGTTTCAACGAATATATGTTTCTTAGTTGATTCCTTGACTTGGAAGTTGGAACCAATTTGCTTTCTCAAAATTTTCTTTCGCTTTCTCTTCCAGTTGTTCTTTCACTAATTCCCTAGCATTCTCCTGGCTTACAACATACTCCTAATGTTTTAAGGCTGACTCCCACTGAAGCAATGACAATTTTACAGCTCGAAATGAGCCACAGTGTGGTTTTACTTTTAGTAACCTTTCTAATATTTTGATTTTATTAGGATTTTGATGGTTCTGTTATTAATGATTCAGGTTGCTTTTTATCTTCTGTGTGATCAACTTGCTAAATTATTTGGACCGTGGAGCTATAGCAAGTAATGGCGTCAATGGGAATCCCAGAACTTGTACTAAAAATGGTGCATGTACATCTGGCAGTGGAATTCAGTAAGCATGCATCGAAAGAGTTGTGATCTTTAGTATGGGTGTTCCAATTTTCTCCAAATATATATTCCCTGTTTCTAACTGTATTTAAAAAATTTAAACAGGGGAGAATTCAAACTGACTAACTTTGAAGATGGTGTCATTTCATCTGCTTTTATGGTCGGGCTCCTTGTGGCATCTCCAATATTTGCATCCCTTGCCAAAAGGTGATTAGTCTCATTTTTTTGAATTAAGGTGGAAGGGGTTTTTCATTATCATATGTTACTTTACCTAAAATCTTAGATTTGATAATATATGAATAAAAACTTCTGTATAATCCAATCTTTTGTTTCGACCATCTTAGTTTGACAAATAAGGTAATAATACTGTTAGTGAAGCAATTTAAAGGGAAACCCTTAATAGTTCTATGCTAAAGCTTTTTCCCAAATTACATTAAATTCTTTTGTTCGTAAACTATGCTTGTAATTTTTGCAGAGTCAACCCATTTAGGCTTATTGGAGTTGGACTGTCGGTATGGACCCTCGCAACTGCCGGATGTGGATTTTCAATTAATTTTTGGTCCATATTGATTTGCCGCATGTAAGTTGTGTTTGTTGTTGTATTGATTTATCGCATGTAAGTTACTATGTTGTTTATTTGTCTACTTGGAGCTTATTAAGAAAAACTAAAAGAAAACCTTAAAATGGTGAACCTTCTTACAAAAGAGGTTTTCTGCCTCTTATATAGCTTTAAAAGTTTCTCTCTTTCTAATATAAGGCTTAGTTTATAATATTAGGAGTAGATCCTCCCACCCCCACACCATCCTACCTTTCATATACCATCAATAGATATAGAATTTGTTCCTTTCTGTATATATATTTCTTCACCTCCTGTTCCAGGTTTGTTGGTGTAGGTGAAGCTTCATTTATTAGTCTTGCTGCTCCATTTATTGATGATAATGCCCCAATTTCTCAGGTTCGGTTAAGGGCCTCTTACTATAGATATTTAATCCCTTATGGTTTTTCCTTTCATCGACATTAAGATTAAGATGAACCATTTTGCTAGCTTAAAATTAATACTCCCTTCGTCCCACTAGACTTTGTCAACTTTCCTTTTTTGTTTGTCCCAAAAAACTTTGTCGTTTTCCTTTTAAAGCAACAAATTTGTGACTTTGTTCATTTCAATCTCCTTTACACAAACCTCAACCACACAGTTTTCACTATTCTAATTTCACACCCAATATTAACTTGGCAAAGTTGAGTGGGATGGAGGTAGTATTTACACTCTGACATTCAATTGTTATGTATATATATTGGTTAATATTTATTAGTGCTAGTATTTGCTGGTAACTGGATTTGCATAACTACTGTTTTCATTTTAAAACTTTTACATTTAAATCATTCTTATATGAGAACAAATTTAGTGCTTTCAAGAATTCGTAAGAGCGTTCTTACATAAGTTCCTTAATGGCCAAAGAAAATTAACTCTAGCTTCCTTCTTAATTTATTTTTTTTATCAGAAAACAGCATGGCTTGCAATGTTCTACATGTGTATACCAACTGGAATTGCGCTTGGATATGTATATGGTGGAATGGTATGTTTTGTGGTTTCTTTTCTAGAGATCAAAGGCCTCTTTCACTTTGTTCTCTCTCTTCATCTTCTTTTCTTGTTGGTATAGTTGTCTTAAGAGTGTAAATGTAATTTTTGTAGGTTGGAAGCCATCTAACCTGGCATTGGGCTTTTTGGATTGAAGCAATTTTGATGCTCCCTTTTGCTATCTTTGGTTTTGCAATGAAACCGTTGCAATTAAAAGGTACACTTTTGGTACTCTTTTACTCTAATCACATCATTTTTCAAATTATTTAAAATAAAAAAGAATGTACAATGCAGGGTTCTCTCCAAGTGTATCAGAAAAATTAGTGACTTCTGTGGCAGCTCCTGGATGTGGAGAAAAAGGTAATGTGGAATGTGGATTTATTTTTGTGCTAACTAATGTGAGGAAGTGGCTAATGAGTTCAGCCACAGAGATTTATACATTGGATTTAGCTTATAGAGTTAATAGCCAAATTTATTTTTGGTGGCTAATGAGTTCAGCCACAGAGATTTATTTTTGGTGTATCATATTAATATGCTCAAATTTATCAAGTCCTGTAATATTACTCTCTAATCCCATTCTATGAAAGTAATATGAACAAACACATATTCAGATTTGCTGATAGAGTTAATAGCCAAAACTTATTAGTAGAATTTGTTTTCAGAACCTTTTTTTCCTTAATTTCTATCTCCTCATCGCTTCATAGTTTGATTCAGAACATGTAACGTATGCAGTTGTTTCAAATGGTGAAGATGGTTCATTGACCAGAAGTGAGATTCATGAAGCTTCTAAAGTGTCCAGGTACACAGTTTTCTCCCACTTTATCCTTGATAGCTGGAAAAACTATTGCGTTTAAGGCTAGTGAATCTCATTTTATTCTTATAGCATGTTTATCTCTCATTTTTGGCACAGGTCAAATTGTAATTGTGTTAATTCAGATCAGTTCATTGGATTTTTCAAAGATATGAAAGCTCTTTTGTCTGAAAAGGTTTTCGTTGTGAATGTTCTAGGTATGTTCCTCTCTCTTGTCTTTACCTCCAAGATACTCCACCTATGGAAAATGATTCTTAACAGTATTAGTTTGAAATATTATCTATATTTTCATTCATGAATATCAAGTTATGAGAATCAGAACAAGTTCAGCTCAAAGAGCCAAAATTTCACTGCTTACTTTGGCTTGACCAATATTGTTGTGATATGTAGTAGGAAAGTTATCGTCATCATTAGCATCACCTTAATCCAACTGGCTGGATAGGTGGCATTAAATTTGTAGTGCCATTTTTGTATAAACATTGATTCACACAATAAATTAATGTGAAAAGCATAATTGAGAGAATATATTATGTAGAGTGCATAAAGCATCTACAATGTTGTAACTAGGATCTTAAGAGCAAGAGTCAGAAACCACTAGGGGTTCAAACAAGAGTATACCTAAATGTTTGCTTTTAGGAAATCTTTTGATGCCTTAATCACTTTGTTATGCTTATTGATGAGGAGTTCATGATATGGAATAAGATTTCAATATAATTTCATGGGAATGTCTTTTGCAGGATATGTAGCATATAATTTTGTAATAGGAGCATACTCCTACTGGGGGCCTAAAGCCGGTTACAACATATATCATATGGTAAGTTTGAGGATTTTAGGGAATACTAACTCATTTTTGCATGTTTTAATTAATGTAATGCATAAGTATTTGACACATCTTTCACTTGGGGTTAATGAATCTGGCACTTCAATTCAATGAAACTGTGTAGATCAGATTTAGATTGGTAATAATCCGTTTTGGCGTTTTGTACATGTTTGGTGAACATTGTGGCCAATTGATAATTTGATTTGTTGTGTAATACTGGTTTAGCTTGCGCAAGTAAACTGATGAATAATTTGGAGACAAGTGGCGTTGATGAGAGCAGAAAATAGTAATCAACGGTAGCAACCGTTGCCCAAGCTTAAAGCTTAATCACCAACTTTATTCAATAATAATGAATAACCCTATTAAAGGGTATAAATAGCCCACTAGTTCTAATTAAGGTAGAACTCCTAATTAAATCATACTAGGAAACATAATAAAAGGAAATAACTAAGGAATTAATTAAAGCCAACTAAAATAGCCAGCCCACGAAGGTGGGCTCAAGCCCATCCCCACCTCCTGTAGACCAACAAGGGCCTGGGGCCCGGCTCTGCCTCGGTCGCCCCTGCCTGCTCCCTATCAGGTGTAGCCAGAAATATTGTATTAGAGGAGCCAGAGCTTGAAAATATTATAAAGGGGGCCAAAGTTTCATACTTTAACTTTTTGAGTGGTTTATAAATAATTTCACATACATATGTATGTTCCTAAAAAATGTATATATACTCTCACAGAGCAATGCAGATATGGTGTTTGGCGGTGTTACTATATTCTCACGTAGGTTTAAATCATTTTGTCAATATATATATATTTGATGCATGCTTGGTTTTCCCACAGAGCAATGCAGATATGGTATTTGGGGGTGTTACAGTTGTATGTGGAATATTTGGAACACTTGCAGGTGGATTTGTTTTAGATCGTATCTCTTCCACACTATCCAATGCTTTTAAGGTAAATAAATTCTGCTTTCTATTCCTTTTCTAAAAAAAATGCTCTAACAAGAGTAAAGAACAACGTGAAATTCGAAAATGGGAGTAATATGTGCACCGGGCTGCCCTTTATGTTTAGTTATGCAAATATTTCTCTAATCTCTAAATAAAAGTCGACAAACACTCGTTCTGGTAAACTAACTGTGATGTGTTGCAGCTACTCTCTGCAGCAACTTTCTTTGGGGCTATATTTTGCTTTGCTGCCTTTTGCTTTAAAAGCTTATACGCTTTTATAGCTCTGTTTGCCATTGGAGAACTGCTCGTGTTTGCCACTCAGGTAAAAACTTTTAATTCTAATCCAGACATCATATGTGTATTTTTTCCACCTGAATGACATGTATTTCCCATGTCAGGCTCCCGTAAATTATGTTTGCTTACATTGCGTGAAACCGAGTTTGAGACCATTATCCATGGCTATATCCACTGTCTCCATTCACATATTTGGAGATGTTCCTTCTTCTCCTCTTGTTGGGATTCTCCAGGTTGGTAGCTTATATATGCAAAATATCATGCTTGGTTGTTGAGAAATGCCACAGACATTATTGGATGGTTCCTGACCAACATAGTTCTTTTTTTACAGGATCATGTAAACAATTGGAGGTTTACTGCTTTGACTTTGACATCCATTTTATTCTTGGCATCCTTAATTTGGTTAATAGGTTAGTGACTTTGTTTGAATATCGGTTTATATATTGTCTTTGTCCCTGTCAATAGTGTATATTATTTTAGTTCAGTCCTCTGACCCTATAAAAACCTCCATTTGACAACAAAGTTCACGTGACTAACATGGTTCCGATCTCGCCTTTTCAAGTCATTTTAAAATACAGCACCTAAATATTTCATTTGCGGAGAGGCATCATCATCATCATTACCCCAGTGCCGCAAAGGCTCTCACCACAAACAGACTGTTTCCGGATGACCATGGTGAAAATAGCATTGAAAACTGATTGTTGTTTCATAAGAAAGAAGTGCATACAGTTTAGTGAGCCATTTTGCGGAGAGCCATATATACTTAAATAAAAAACATGGATATGTTAGTTTTTTTTAACCCAACTCCACCAATAGTCTCAAAAAAAAAGAAGTGGAAACGTAAAGTTTATAATGAAATTTTGCGAGCTGTATTAATTTTAAAAATATAAGATTGACAGAAAGTTGGAGTGGCTATAACAAAAATAATCTGCTCCTTAAAAATATAAGATTGACAGAAAGTTGGAATGAAAAACAAAAAACAAAATCTTTGTGGTGTTTAATGTGCCTTAAATGTATATCAGTGTTTAATGTTTCATTTAGTGTTAAATGAAACATACTACGGAGTATATTTATATGTATATCAGTGTTTAATGTGAAATTAATCTGATATTTACCTACCACCAAACAGTTGAACTTAAATCTGTCTTTATTCTTTTCCCTTGCAACTCAAGTTTCATTACTTGTTTCCTACTAAACGAGTTGTTTAAGTATACACGTTTGAAAATAAGAAAATTACTCCTTTTTTATCCTTATTATTAAAGATGGACCGTCCGGTTGAGACTACTTAAAAGTTAAAAGTTGTCATTGTTGATATGCGTGTTAGGGATATTTCTTCATAGCGTGGACAGATTTGATGAAGAAAGTGAACGGCCAAACCCCGCCACAACGCCATTCCTCGAGGAGGAGGTGACAAAAAGAAAAGAGACTTGTTGAACCATGGCGGTGCTAGCTGCTGGCTGGAAGAACAAGCAAATGTGAAAAGTTGTATAGTTTGTCTGTCCAAACAAATCTGAAGAAATAGTCTGCAGAGGATAGATATTGTGTTAGGGTGGGTTTGTTTTTATCAGGGGTATGGTCTTCTTGATTTTTGCGTTACAATTTAATTGTTCAATTTTGAAGTATCCCTACTTGTTCATAGTGATGATGATGATGAGGATGAACTAATCATCCTAGTTCCTAGATTCCTAGGATGGTACTCAACAAGTCAACATCAAGGAAGATATTAGTCCAACTGTCCAAAATGCGGTAAAATTGGCTAAATTTGACTCGTTTTGGTAACATTGGAATTGGCTGAATTTGCTAAAATCGATAAAATGCAGGGTGTAGCGGTTGATTTTTTGAATTATGGAAAATTATATTGACAAGCTTTTCAATGGGTCACCTACCCTTGGGACTCTCTACCATCGAGCTCGCTTAATTAGAGAGTTTTATGGTTAATTAGCATTCATATCCGGTGCAATGATTGATCCATAAGACCAACAATCACCCCCGACATCAACCGGGAGATTCGCATGCGGCCTCACTCTGAAATCGTTTGTAGGATCAGTTCACCCCTTTTTACAAGCTTCTAATGGGTCACCCATCCTTGGAATTTCCTACCCTCAACTCACTTAATTACATAATTTTATGGTTAAATAGCAGTCATATATTACATTATTTTGAATTAATCAATAATAATGTCTTACTATTGCTATTGTTCTTGCTATTGTTATTGTTGTTGCCATTGGTATTGTTATTGTTGTTGCTATTGCTATTGCTACTGCTATTGCTACTGCTAATGCTATTACTATTACTATTGTAATAGTTTTTACTACTATTATTATTGTTATTATATTTATAATTATAATTATAGTTATAACTTTATTTATAATTATAGTTGCAAGTGTAATTATAACCATAGTTGTAGTTATGATTATTGTGATAATTATAATTATAACTTATAATTATCATTATTGTTGTTATAATAAGAGCAATAGTAATAATAATAGGTAATAATAATAATAATAAAATTTAATACTAATAAATAATAATAATAATAATAATAATAAATAATAACAATAGTAATAAATACTCAATCAGATAAAAATTATTCAAATCATATCAAAAGATTCGGATCAGATCAGAAGAATTCGTATCAAATAAAAAAATCAGATCAGATCAACTTAGAGAGATTCAGATAAAATCAGATCAGAAAAATTCTTACTAGATGAGAAAAACTCAGATCAGGTATTAAAAATTCAGATCAGATAGTTTCTCAGTGAGTCTACTTAGTTTTGAATTTTAAATAATACTCGTATACGTTACACATCCTTCTTTTAGTGAATTTTTATATCGTTTTTGAAATACGAAGTAAGTTTCAATAAACCTTGATAGCTTACTCAAAAACTATACCTATAGTAATTAATTAAGTTATAGATAAAAATATATCTAAAAGTACTAATGTGAATTTGAGATAATAATTAATTATTACTTCGTACTATAAATTTTATAAGTAGATAATGATAAATATGGTATACTAATGATCAAAGAATAATGTTGACATCACTAAACATCAAATTTAATGTTTAACTAAAGAAATTACGCACTACATAATTTTATGTTTGATACTTCATTATCGGGATTAAGCGAGACTTTTGATCGAAAACCTGACTTAAGTGGGATTTTAATGCCCGGATCCCGACTTAATGGGGGCGAGATATGTGAACCTCTTTTATTTTGAATCGGGACAAGGTCTCCATTTTGGCAATCGGACCAGGATCATCCCTATCCACCCCTATTTGAAATAGTGTATCTGACGCTTTTACCCTCAATCATTCCCGTACGCTATCGGGTCCATTCACGTAATTTACCATGCGCTTGATTATCATCCATGGGAGATGGGATGGTAAGAGCTTCGCCTCACTCAGAGATAGTTGGTCTTCTTCTACACTTCCACTCGCGGCACACATCTCCCCACCGCCCCCTTTCATCCTTCTCATTTCGTCAACCAGTCTTCTCGCTGCTTCAAAGGAATCCTCTCCGAAGCTCAGGTTTTTCTCTTACTCTCTCTTTTATAAAATATTCCTGAAATTTTCACTCTATCGTACTTGATAGTTGATTGGCCCACACGATCCCGTGTGGTTCTGTTGTAAGTTTGTAGGACGAAGGAATTTGTCCTGCGATCTCATAATCGCGATTTGAAGATTGAGAAACAACTGATGGATTTGAAGGAAGAGAGTCCCGAATTGAACAAGAATCTTTACCCTGCCATAGAACCGTATGGCTCAGGTTTCTTGAAAGTCTCTGATCTTCACTCCATTTATTGGGAGCAGTCTGGGAATCCCAGTGGGCATGTGAGCTCTCTTCTTCCTCTTCCCCTTTTTACTCTGTATGCTTCTTTGTATTTGATTTTGATCGATTGGTTATACTATGTTTCTTCTGATGCGCTTTGCTGGTTGGAGATGTCAAGTGTAACCTCTTCAATAAAAATTTGACCATCCGTGTGGATGAGCATTTGGGTTAATGGTTATATATGCTTTTTGCTTAACTTTCTCTGACATATATCCTTGTTCAGGCTTCTTTTATCCAAGAGAGAAAATTACCTAAATACTTTTTTGCATAACTTTGTCGGACTATTCTGCATTGCCATTACTCTTAAGATCATATTTGTACTTCCAGCCTGTTGTTTTTCTTCATGGAGGTCCTGGAGGTGGAACTTCGCCAAGTAACCGGAGATTCTTTGATCCTGACTTCTACCGGATCATTCTATTTGATCAAGTAAGAAGCATGAATGTTTTGTGTAGCTGTTAAAGGATTGTTTTTAGTGCTTAGGTCAGAGAGGATCATTTTGATGAATATAAGATATGGTCTTGTTCTAGAGAGGTGCAGGTAAAAGTACACCCCATGCTTGCTTGGTGGAGAATACTACATGGGACCTTATTGAGGATATTGAAAAACTCAGAGAACACTTGGAAATTGCAGAATGGCAGGTCAATTTTTATTTATTTATAATATAGATTTGGTTCAATGCATGCCTCCTTTCACTCTTAATAAGAAATGTATAATCTTTCCAGGTATTTGGGGGATCATGGGGGAGCACACTTGCTCTTGCATATAGCCAATCCCATCCTGACAAGGTTTTGATTATTAGGAAATCTCGTATCTAAACTTTGATGAATGAAAATCGAAATCATTATTCATTAAACTTAAATAAGGTACATAAGTCATCCACATACTTATTCTGTATTTCTCCATGTATTTAAGGTTACTGGCTTGGTTCTAAGAGGTATATTTTTATTGAGGAAGAAAGAAATTGATTGGTTCTATGAGGGTGGGGCTGCTGCAATATTTCCCGATGGTATGATTTTTCAACAACATATAAAGGCCCGTTTAGTAACACTAGTCAGCCTTTTTCCTACAGAAATAATCAAAACAAGAAAAAGGACTAGCCACTGAGTCACTGACCTGCACTTATTTTACTAAAGTCGGTATTACCAAATGTTGTTCATTTTAGAAAATTCGATAGATCAACCCTTTTTGGCTAAATAACCCTTCCTAAGAAGGCTCTAAAATGTGAATTTAACCTTGTGAGGTAATGCTTATTAGTTAATAGTTATCATGAAAAGGTTGCTTAGCAGCCAAATCATTGCGTGTTGTTTGTTGCAGCATGGGAACCATTCAGAGATTTGATTCCAGAAAATGAGAGAAATTGCTTTGTTGAGGCATATCACAAGAGGTTAAATTCAGATGATCTTGAAACACAAGTAAGGTTAATTTCAGACCTAAAATGGTGTGTGCGCCTTCTGGGTTCAATCTTTGCAGACCTATTATAATTGCACACCACATTCGTTCTGTTCTCTCACTGTGTGCATCATGATTAGTTGTGATTTTTTGTTTTATTTTCTGAAGCTCTAAGTTTTATAGAATGCAGCAGCGAGAGCATGGACTAAATGGGAAATGATGACTGTTCATCTTCTCCCTAACGAAGAAAACATAAGGAGAGGAGATGACGACCAATTTTCATTGGTGAGCGGTTAATTTAGCAACCTTTTGGGATATAATATAATACTATCGGAGTATCGGTATAATATAATACGAATTACGAAGTATAATATAATATATTTGAGTAAATTGTGTATCATGCTTACTATGATTTTCCATCCAGGCATTTGCTAGGATTGAGAATCACTATTTTATCAACAAAGGATTCTTCCCTACAGATTCTTTCTTGCTAGAAAATATTGAAAAGATAAAGCACATCAAAGCTATAATTGTTCAGGTGTGTGTGAATCCTCTTTTAACAATACTTGGATAACGCGGTTAAGTTCACTTATTTAAATAGTGTGATGCCATTTGTCTTGGTGTGTTTTGATTTTTGGACATATCTATTATGTTGCAGGGTAGATATGATATTTGTTGTCCAATGATGTCAGCTTGGGATCTTCATAAAGCTTGGCCTGAGGCAGAACTCACGGTAATTGATAACTTGTTTCCATCGCTGATTTTTTGGGCGCTCGGTATTTATGATTTTGTTCTGCTTTGTGAGGAGAGGGGTTTCTCAATTGTTTTACAGATTTTGAAGCTCCACAAATTAAATTTAGATATTCGTTCAAACTCATTTTATTCAACTGCTTCTATAGTATGGAGTATTAGACTGAGATATCCAAAGATGTATACCATTTTAATCACAATTTTCATCAAAATCTTTCTAATAAATTTCAGATGCTTGTCTAAAATCAGTATTTTCCTTTCCTTTTGTTGTTGTGGGGGATGGGGGGCCATGTTATTAGGTTGTTCGAGATGCAGGACATTCTGCAAATGAACCAGGAATAACAGCCGAGCTTGTGGCTGCAAATGAAAAGCTGAAAAACATTCTGAAAGGTATATAACCATCCTTCAAAGGGACACCCAAAATCACAGAACCCAGCATGGCCTTTTGGGCTGCACTGCACTGCAACCCCTTCAGATGACGGATGATTTTACGGACTACGCCCTGCTTGTCAAAGGGAACTTTACTTTGATTCGTTCATGATTGCCCATGTTTTCTCTTCTTCCTTAAAATGCTTCACTCTCTTAGTAGAAAATGAGGTTGAGATTCCATGAACTTGTCATTCATTGTATCGTATTCTTAAGACATAGAATCCCTTTCTAAAAGGTCAAGCTAATAAGAGAATAACCCCTCTAAAAAAGAAAGCCCCCCTAAATAAGAGAGAATTAGTCAAAAAAATATATTATATGGAGTATATTGGTTGAGTATTTTATGTTTTGCCGGTAGAGTTGCGACATTCAATAATTTTAGTTGGATTCGAACAAGTTGAATACGAACTAAAATATAAATATGTTTTGTTATTCAAAGAATTTCGAATAGACGAATATGAATACAAATACTATTATTTGTATTATTACAAACATATTCAGTTTGGCAAAATTTGTCGTTTGATTTTTTGAATTCAAATATTCGAATATAATTTAAATATATTTGAAGAAAACAATCGAATGGAATAGAAAGTATGAATATTAATGCACATTATTGCTCGTCTTGATTCAAATCGTTTCTGAATATGTTGACTGTTTTGGTGGGGTAAATATTCCAAAACAAAAATCTCTTTTCGTCATTGGCTTTTCTAGACTAGGGACTAGGGAGTACGGAGCACCAATCCATTCAAAATCATTTTAAATGTATTTGAACTTTGAAGAGGCTATTGGAATTGTTGCAATAAAAAGAATCACAATATCAAACATTAAAAATTATTTGTAGAAAGAGATGGAATATACTTGTTAGCTAGCTCTACACTCAAGGTTGTAGGGCCTAGGCTCGGGGGTAGGGCGGGTTCGGGCTAGG